AATGGTAAAATAGCAGATTTGGTTCTTGACTTCTGGATTCTGCACAAGTTGATCCTCAAGTCTCTGATCTCTTCAATTTACTTCTAAAAAAGTAAGATTTCTTCCAATTAAATCCTTTCCTACACACAGAATGAAAACCATATAAAACCAAACAAAATCCCATAAAACTCATCCAAATATCAATAATATCAAAGTCAAAATTCCCTATTAATATGTATATAAATTTAGCTCATCACATGTGATCCTGATTTTCCTCCCATCTTGAATTACAATTACAACACCAATACAAGCTGTGATTTATTACGCTCCCACATATCCCTCTACAAACTAATTTTTTTTCTATGATATTCAGTTTTATGTTAATGTGAATTGCATGAAGAATATATGTTCTTCCCTATCTTGGCTTCAGAATTTTAATACGTCTATTGGGTAATCAAGGATACGTAGCTTACTAGAGGATTGATAATGGGTCTTGAACTAAGAAATGTAATTATATGGTTTTTTTAAAATAAACTTGACTGTTGATCTTAATTTGTGATAATCGGCTGCAATGTGATACATAATTCTCTGGCTTGGATGTAAGATCTGTCTTTCACGTGGAAAGTGGAATTTTTTTAATTTTAGTATGGAAAGAGTGCTGGAATTAAATGGCATGAGTTTTATTTGGATTATCTGAACAAAACCATGTCATAAATAAGGCTCAAAGCTTTTGTATGACAAGAGAGGATGCAAGTTAATCGTTAATTAGGCATAAGAAAAATGCAAACTAAATAGCCTTTGGACTAATTTTCTAAGCCTCCCTACTCAACATTTCCTTGCTAGTGACTTTACAGTTCCTTTAACATTTCTTTATTTCTTTTACAAAAAAATGCACTCCCTTCTTTTTTGGTTGGTTTGCTATGAGATTCAATTGAATGGTTAATGACGATTGGTGGTGTAGTATCTGAGGTTTAGAGGTAGGAAGCATCCTACAAAGGTTTTGGGCAGATTGCTCTAGCTTTTCCGTTTATGAGCTTTTTATGGCTCGAAATGGCGATTTTGATATTAGGAAAATGATTGAGTATTTAGGTGGATTTGAGATGGGTGTGCATTATCGATATAGGAATTATTGGCTGTAGAGAGTTGTGTGCATTTTTGGATTGAACAAGAAAGGCTGAGTCTATCTTATATCAATTGAAGATATATAGAAACTACTCTCACATCTATAATTTTCATTAAATAGTAGAATGTTTTATTGGGTTTTGCACGCTGGAAATTTTTCAATATATGATGTTTTTGAATATTGACAGCCTTGATAGAAGAATAAATGGCCTCAGCTCTTCTTTCAGTTGTATTTTGCAATTTGACATTTTGATTTCTTGCTTTATTTCAACATTTTGATTAGTTTTAGAGGTTTGGTTTTAGAAATTTATGAGTGGATTTGATTAGTTTTGGATTGCTGTTGGAAGTTTTGTGCTTTGATTTGAAAAACTGGTTAGTTTTTGCAATTGGGTTTTTGGAGATATGGAAAACCAAATTAACCAATGAAGGAATCTGACTAGAACACTGAACCCCTAAGCAAAACCTAATAAAGTTTGTAAGCAATCTATGTTTCTCAGTGTTCCTATTGTACACCAGATTATGCTTCTTACATATTGAATTTCTTTTTAACATTAGCAACAAATTAAAAATAGAAATTGGATTCTATTTAGTCTTTTTGTAGTGACAGGTGAATATTTGCTTAATATTTACCATTTTTGGCTGATTAACTATCTACATATCAGTTTGGTTTTGGACGGTTATTCTTATGCTTCTTCTTGAAAATGTTTGAACATAAATTGCAATTGATAATGTGCTGCTGTCAAGTATTATATATTAGACTTTGATGCGGAGATAATTTCTCCTTCGTATTTGGACCTCAATGTAGTTTTCCTCTTTGTATTGGACTGGCTTATTGAATTTTGTAGGTTGAGTGGGCAGCATTTGATGGGACAAAGAAGAGAAGTTAGATGAAGATACTTGCTTGACTATGATTTGTTATTCTATGTTGTTTTGACCCTCGATTATTGAGATTATCCAAAATGAAATCAGAAATTGACATGCTTCCTTTTCAAAGCAAACCATTTACCTTCTGTTGTATTAGAGATGATTCTGATGCACTTTTGTATTTTTCCGGTGAGCATGGACATGGTAATAGGAGATCTGCACTTCAAAAGAGAAGTTTACTAATTCTATGTTAAGTTTTTGTAGTTTTTTTTTTCTTACAAAAGCTGATTACCATACAGTCATTTAAACCTATGCACATCCTTCATGTTTGTATATTATGTTACAATCTTGCTTATGCATCCCAATTGCCAAATATACTAAATTTGCATTTTTGTTCAGAAAACTGATCCAACTAGTTTCTTGCTTTTGATATATATATATATATATATATATATATATGCTATTGTATCCATTGCTATCAGCTTTAAAGTTCAATTGATGTTCAGATCGTTTTGATTCTTGAAGCTATTTCTTTGTTGTTGCATGATCATGCTGTCATGCCACTCAAGAAACGACTCAGTTACAAATTTACTCTTCACTCCTATTTGATTGTTAATTTCTATAATTTGCATTTTTTTTAAGTAAATGCTGGGTTTCTTTTTTTAAGTTTAGTGTTTGATGTTCCAAAAGCCTTTTATGTTACCTGAGTTCTTTTTTCTCTTTCTTCTTTTTTTCTTAATGAAAAATGGTTCATTTATGTCTGACTAAATTGTTTTTAGGGATTTGGAAGTACTGCTTCACCATCTGCAGTGGCTCTCGATGGAAGCGCTACTGATCAAGACAAGGAGCTTTGTCATCCCTTGACCTAATGAGCCTGGAAAGAAGATTGAGATGTAGTTGCCTGCATTCGACGCTGCTTGCACTTTTGGCAGAATCCTTGACTGTGGTCTGACTCACACGGCCGTCACTCCTCTGGATCTCGTCAAGTGCAATATGAAGAGTGCTATAACTATAACATCCGTGCTGCTTTAGTTAAAAATATTCCGAGTCCTGGGGTCTGCTTGATTGAGGAATATGATGATAATGGAACAGAACAGCATTTGTTTGCAGTTCTTCCAAATACTTGTGGTGGGTTGAAAATGATGTTGAGATGGCTTTGAATTCTGCGCGGATCTTATATGATATGGATAGTGATGATAAGCAGTGGGTTTTGACAGTTTGTAATTCTTCAGAAGCTGGTGACGGCAGCTTGCTTGAAATTTCTGAAGGAAAGTTTTGAGAAGGCAATCAGGGACGGAGCCGGGCCCCTAGACTTTTAAAAAAAATTAAATAGGTCCTTTATTTTTTTAAAAAATCAAATAAACCCTCTTTAAAAAATAAAAATGATGTGTTCTAACTTTTTTTTTTATAGATCTTATGATAAATTACTAACACTTGACAAGTAGAATAAAATTAATAAAATATTTTTATTTATTTGATATATTTGTCATTATAATATATACATAGTTAATGATTATTTGTATCAAATAACAAAATAAAATTATCTTGAAATTGATATTATCAATTCTTTAGAACATTTAGTTTTATTATCTAGATCATATTGAATAATATTTTATGATAAAAGTTATGCTTTAGATTGAAATTTAAATACACATAAATTTTAACAAGTTTTTCTATATTTAAAGTCTTTAAAATTTTAATTTTTGTATATTTAAGTCTTAATCTTATTTATAAATTAAAGTAAAAAAATTCATTTTTAACATATACATTTCAAATAACATTTTGCCCCCCCTAAGGTTATTTTCTGGCTCCGTCCCTGAAGGCAATATACATGTTTGAGAAGGTTGCATATGATGTTCAAGAGCGTGATAATTTCTCATCTGAAGAAATAAAGGAATTGATGGTTGGTGTTGGGCCAATAGCAATCAAAACTATCTATGAGCATTGGAGGCAGAAGTGGCAGAGAATGGGAATGCCTTTAATCCAACGCCGTCAGGTGCCTACAGTATTGCATGTCTACCTTCCTTTTATTGTTTTAGATAATGACTTAATTTCTATGCTTCTATGTAATGCCAGCCAAAGGAGACTGATTTATTGGAACAGGAGTAGGTTAAGGGGTACCTTTCCAGCAGATATACGCTTTGATTATTGAAACAAAATGCTGGTCAGATCAAAGGTTCCTCTATAATTTCAGGATAGGATTCCAGAGTTCTTGTTGGTTTATTTTGCACTAACTCGTAGAATTTCCTTCAAAATGTCTTCTAGCATTTCCTCTCTTTGATACATACAAAGTGTTTATTTATACACAATTCTCAAATATTACATTTATATAATATTTTAATAATTTATCTCTTTATTTTTAAATAAATGAGATTTACCATAACTTTGTAAATAAAAAAAATAATTATTTTTAATAAATATAAATAAATTTTAATTATTGAAAATGAAAAAATAAATAATCAAAATTTTATATAAATGTGATGTGTATAACTTGTACTTAATCTTTACTATATATATATATATATATATAAACGGCCTTCTAGCATTTCCTCTCTTTGATACACACATATATACATACATATATATATATGAGAAGTATTTATTTGTATACAATTTTTATATATTACATTTATATAAAATCTTAATAATTTATCTTTATATTTTTAATAAATGAGATTTACCATAACTTTGTAAATGAAAAAATAATTATTTTTAATAAATGTAAATAAATTTTAATTATTAAAAATAAAAAAATAATTTATTAAAATTTTATATAAATGTAACGTGTACAACTTATATTTATCTTTACTCTATGTATATATATATAGACGGCCTTTATATGAATAAAAATTGTATCCTGTGTATTTGCAAGCTGAACAAGGGTTCAAAGCACAGATCCCAGAGGAGAATTTCAGTTTCTGGGAAAATCAATGCGACCTTGGAGGATCATCATGGTTCTCATTCTTTTGGTAACATCCATCATCATTTTACCTATACATTCAGCTGTCATCCTTTTTAGCCCCATTACAGTTCCCTCACCAATATTTAATTCTACTTAATTGTTGTCTCAGGAAGGAGATCAAATGGGATTTGCTTTTGGGGATGAGAAGTATTGATATCCAGCATATAACTATGAATCTTTTGATGATTCCCCATTATCTCAGGCGTCAGCAAGGGTATTTTCACGACAAGATACAGGCAGCATGGGATATTTCCCCATGGGCTATGATGGATTTGATAGGAATCATCACCAGAAACTTCAAAGAAGCAGGTCAAAGAAATTTGGGTCTTTTCTACCTTCTAGTGAAATGCAAATGTTGGGTTTTTACAATCAGAGATAAAGGGCGGGAGAAATGGAATAAACAGGTGGAATCTGGGCTTTTCTGGTTGGCCAAGCCAGCGGCATTCTACTTAGGTGACTATTTAAAACATGACCTCGAACAGTTGGATGATTCTGATCTCGACGAGTATAGGTTGCGTGGTGCATCTGCTGCGGCCCGCCATGCGCTTAACATGGCAAAACACAAGAGAGAAAAGGCACATAGATTAATGTTCCGAGAAGATGCAGCAGTGCACAAGGCTGCGTTTGCTGTAAATGACTGTCGTTGCAGTTAAAGCTTCTTATATGGAGTCAAATGACGACCCAAATGGTGACGAGTAGGATGATGTGATGCGGAAATTGATCAGAGCTTTGAGTTGTGGAATTGAAGAGTACTCAAGGCATTGCCATTGCTTTTGCTTGCTGGTTTTACCATTTCTTGTTATGGTTGCCTGGAGCCCTTGTTGATAGATTCGACAGAAATGTTCTAACTGGATGATAGTTGTGGGTGAAAACATGTTGGAGCTATGGCATGAAAGCTGAAAATGCAGTCAAATGAAATCTGCTAAATGATGCTGCAATATGACTGCCCAGTAGCAGCAAAGTGACAACAGCATGGAGCCTCACATGGGCTACAAGAAATGGCAGCAAACTTCATCATTTTAGTCAATGTTTTAGGTAGTTAATAATTATTGTATTATGTAGAAAAATATTATTGTTTTATGTGTAGCCTTCCTCTATAAAAGGGAAGGAAGAAATTGAATGAAAATTGAGAGAGAACGAGAAAGCATGGTTTCTCCTCTCCGGTTGGGTGAATGGTTGCACCCTTCCATGTTTATGGCCTTATGTTATGTTCTATGTTGGGTGTCTCTCCCTCTCCTCCAAGTACTCTCTCAATCCCCCTTTTTACCACTCAAAACCCCCTTCTCTTACTACCGAAAAATCCAACATGGTATCAGAGCTGAATTCTTGAGGGACATGTGAGAGTTTGTCTTTTGAGGGAACACCAGAAAAACCCCCACCTTTCTCAGAGTTTTCAGATGGTTCTTCACATGAAACCGCCTCTTGCTTGGCCAAAATCTTGCAGCAAAAAAGGCTGTGAAGATGGAGGCATATGTTAGTCCCACCATGAGAGATGTCAAGGAGAGGAAAGCGGGATTCAAAGAGAAGGTGTTCATGTTTGTTTCCAAAATCAGTCCAAAAGGCAAACCATGGTTGATGGAATGGGAAACTGAGCACAAAAAAACTCAGTTTCATGGCATGTTCTTCATCCATCTTTTATGTTTGCTATGGTTATGTTTTGAGTTTTCCCAAGAAAACTCTTATGGATGCTGCTTTGATGTTCCAAACTCTCATGGCTTCATGGCAAAGAATGTTTGATGGAGATAACGGTAAAGGAAAACCAAGCACAGCATCTCAGTTTCATTCTGTGTTCTTCTACCATCTTTAATGTTTGTATTTTTTAATGTTCTGAGTTTTCTTTTCATAAAAAAAAACCTCTTCATGTTTATGTATTTGTGAACTCCATCGTTACATGGCAAAGAAGTTTTGATGGAGGAGCAGCCAAGACCAAACACAAAATCACAAACTCCAGAATGTACTGAAGTAGCAAAGATCTACGGCAAAGCTGCTGCAATAATGGAGTTGCTGAAAATGTTTAAGGGTCCAGAATCTGTTCAAACAGCAAAAATCTAACGAAGATGAAGCTGATTTGCAGGGGGAGCTAAAATATTTGAGAAGATGGTACTTGGCAGCAGACAACAAACCAAACCAAGGCACAAAGAACTGAAATTGGCAGAGTCAAATTCTAAAGTAAAATTTTGTTTCTGCAGTTTTAATGCCGAGGAGGAGTTTGTTGGAGCTATGGCATGAAAGCTGAAAATGCAATCAAATGAAATCTGCTAAATGATGCTGCAATATGACTGCACAGTAGCAGCAAAGTGACAACACCATGGAGCTTCACATGGGCTACAAGAAATGGCAGCAAACTTCATCATTTTTGTCAATGTTTTAGGTAGTTAATAATTATTGTATTATGTAGAAAAATATTATTGTTTTATGTGTAGCCTTCCTCTATAAAAGGGAAGGAAGAAATTGAATGAAAATTGAGAGAGAAAGAGAGAGCATGGTTTCTCCTCTCCGGTTGGGTGAATGGCTGCACCCTTCCATGTTTATGGCCTTATGTTATGTTCTATGTTGGGTGTCTCTCCTTCTCCTCCAAGCGCTCTCTCAATCCCCCGTTTTTGCCATCTAAAATCTTAACAAAACAGAAGCAGCTTTGCACTTGTGCTTCACGTTGTTGTTGCGGTTTAGGTATGGAGCTCTACCGTTTTTTATTGGCTAGTTCTTTTTCCCGCAACATGTTGGCACAACAGTTGTATTGATCCTACGGGTAAGGGTTTGTATGGAATTGGAATTTTGGCTGCCGGTCGTTTTGTACAGATTTTGTTAACCTTTTCTTCTTAGTCTTTGATAGCGAAGTAGCAGTTGGCCAAAATTATACATCCATTACAGTTTCCTGTCTTACTGAAACGTTGGAGCATTTCGTAGATATGTATTTTCCAGAAGAAAAGATGAAAAAAGGAAATTTCCTATAGGTAATTAGTATCTATCTCATAAATTTCCAAAGAGATTACTTAGTGCTGCTCTCTTGCAATATATATTGACATCGTTATTTTATTGGCTCTTTAATCGCCAAGACACAAATTGGAAGGAAATGATATGCGCACAGTTATATTGAGTACAATGATTGATATAATATAACGTATCATTTTATGATTATTTTTTTATTTAAAAAGTATAGGTAAACTGATATATATTTACTCGTTCTATATACACTATATTATACAAATCACAAGTGAGCAAAATGGTTTTGCTTTGAAGAAAAACAAAGAAAATGGAGAGCAGAATCACTAAACTATTTCATTGAAGCTTGAAATATGTACGAGTCTGGTACAACAAACCAAAAACAAAAAGTAGCAGACATAAACTAAATAGCTTTTCCTAATGAAACAACATTGTCCTTGTAAATACTCCCACCAATCTCTAGATGCAAGACTATGCAGGGACTATTCTCTTCCAGAGCCAATGGTTTTTCCACAAAAATGTTGTCTCTTCAATTGGAACTCCCTTAGTTTCGGGCACCAACATATAGACGAATAAGGTCATTATAATATTGCAACTAGCAAAAAACAAAAAGATACCGAACTTGAGTGTGCAGAGCATGGAAAGGGAGCTTTGAGCTATTATAAAGGTGAATAGAAAGTCAACAACTACTTTGATAATTTTTCCAGCTAACTCTGTTTCTGATGTAAATATCTCATCCAACACCTTATCACTTAGAGGCTCCCATGACCATTCGAAGGCTAAAACAAAGAGGCAAAGCACCACCACCACCAATGCTGAATAGCCTTTGGACAGAGATTGATTGTCCCCAAACTTGAGTCCCAAAATTATAGCAATTATGATCTGTTTTAAAGATGAATGATTTAGTGCTTTGAATTTTCTAATTTTTCATTATGAGTATCTTATTCTTATTTTATGCATTTGCGAATTAAGACTAAATATCTTACCTGACATAGAATCATTTGAATTCCACCACTGATGAGTATAACTCTTCGCCCCAATCGATCTACTGTGGCAATGGAGATAAAGGCAGATGCAACCATGACAGCTACTATGACAATTGAGCAGTAGAGTGAGGCATTTTCTCCAAACCCTATGCTTTGAAAGAACACTGGAGCATAGAAGAGAATGAAACTCATGCCAGTTAGGATTTTGAATGCTGGCATGCAGATGGCCATTACCAATATTGGTATGTTTCTTCTCTCAAGCATTTTCCTAAATGGATGCTCGATGGAGTTAGCCAAATCACTAGCATGTATCATGTCCTCAAACTCTGTGTTGACATCATCAATTCCTCTGATTTTGGCAAGGATTCTTTTGCCTTTCTCCCTTTTTCCTTGCTCAATTAAGCCTTTAGGTGTCTCGGGAAGAAGAATTGCTCCCATTGTCACAAAAAGTGCCAATACTCCTGTGAGGCCAATAGAGATCCTCCATCCTGAATAATCCAGCCTTTTTGTTCTATAGTTAACCACATTAGCTATAAAAGTACCCAGCTTGATTGCTAATTTGAATATACTCTTGATGATTTCTTCGAGATGAACAGGTGCCATTTCCGACAAATAAAGTGGAACAGCCTGAATTTATGAATTAATCAATATTTGAATATAAACAAAATTAATACAATATCAATTGAGCAAATTCATTATTGATATACCTGTTCCTCGAATCCAGTTCCAAAGCCAAGCATAATCCGACCTAAAAAAAGCATGAATAGGTAGGTAAATGCAATATTGAGAACAGCTCCAACAAGCAAGCTGAGTCCTGCACAAATTATAGTCACACGACGTCCATACTTCTTTGTTACTAGAGATGCTACCAGAGAAGCTACTAGGGCACCAAGATATGAAGATGAGTTAAAGGCAATGAGGCCTTGGTTATTGTACTTGCAATAGTTGTTTTCAAGTCTCTGCCTTATCTTTTCAAACACGGTGGGGAAAAACCACTGAAGGAATCCATTCATAGTTGTCACTCCCCCTGCCAATTAATTCATTTATAATAGATGATTAAGTATTTATAGCAATTATAAATTATAACCGTGAAAAACTTAGAATTATAACTTATGGAAATAAATTTTGAAGTTAAATTATTCAAAAGAGCTTTTTTTTTTTTACCGATGTTGTACCTGAAATTCCAATGTTGTAACCAAAGAGTAAGCCGTCAACAATGGCAACAATGCATGTAAGAAACACATAGAGGCCACCTTTGTACTGTCTTGCACTCTCCTTGGCCTTGCCAATAGTAGCAACAACCCACTTCTTGGCTTTGCCAACAGCAGCAAAAACCCACTCCTTAGCCTTGCCAACAGCAGCAAAAACCCACTCCTTAGCCTTGCCAACAGCAGCAAAAACCCACTCCTTAGCCTTGCCAACAGCAGCAAAAACCCACTCCTTGGCCTTGCCAACAGCAACAACAACAGCAGCAACAAAAGTGGCAACAACCCACTCCTTGGCCTTGTCAAAAGCGGTAACAATCCACGTCTTGACCTTGCCAACAACAGTGACAATGGCCACACCAACAACAGCTAAAGACATGATCTCCTATTTGAACACGCACAGCACAAACTTTGCTCTTTGCCTGACAAGATCATTTTTCAATGTAAATGTGAGTTGGAAATATTGCTACTTGTTTTTTTTTTTTTTTTCACAAAGAAATGGATAGAAAATCTAGAAGAAGATGAAGAGTATAATCAAAAATGGAGAGTATAACATTCAACTCAGATTTTCTCATTAACAATCTCTGGTATATGTAGCATAAAATAAACCTAAAAACAATTCAAAATGTTTCTTATTTTGTCTAAGCAACTTTTCTACATTAAAAGGCAACCATAAAAGTACATCTAAAACAGGTAAAAGACAACCACTTTTGCTGCATGCTTGTTGTCATTTGGCAGTCACTATGCAGTTCTTCAATCATTTGCATTTGCATTTCAGTTGTTACTTATTGCAACTTCATTTCTCATTTGTTACTTATTGCAACTTCATTTCATCAACATTTGCAGCTTAGCTTGCTGCACATTTTTGCTGTCATCTTACAACTTCATTTCTATCTTATTTGCAGCTAAATTACTACCATATTTGCTGTCAAATTATAGCTTTATTTGCTGTCAATTTTCAACTTCATTGTTACAATTTCATGGCAGTTACATTTCATTTCATTATTTTATGGATTTGAGTGCCAGATTTCTAATAATATTTCCAACATTACTTGACATACAAGCAGTCTGTTCATTGCATCTGGGGCAAATTGTCCCAAATTATTTCTTATATTCTTTAACAATACATAATATTAGAAATAAAAATAAGTATTTTTTATACAAGAAGGGTAGTTTTCTCTTAAGTTGTTCCATGTTTTGTAGTAGTAGTTTTAGTTGATATTTATCTTATGATTCAGGTTTCAAAATCTTATTTAGGATAAATAAGTATGTTATTTACTTCATTTCTTTGATCTGACTGCTTTTCAATTAGCTAAATAATTGCTGAACAATTTTTATTTCCATGTAATGGGCAATTCCTTAATGAGTTTATTTATTCTAGGAGTTTAATTCATCTGTATTGACGATTTGACGCTTGCCAAAATGTTAGATCTGTAATCTTGGATTGAAATTAAGAACGAGGTTTACATTATAAGTTTAGAACTAAAGACATGTCTAATATCAATGTGGCTACAGGTGTTAGTCCTTTGGATTATCTGGCGGATCATATATATGAACTTATGAAGAGTTTAGTTTATGTGCCGGAAGACTCATGAGGAAGAAGATGATGCTTTAGCAGCAAGAGTTTAGATTAGCTCCAATTTTGGTGTTTAGATACAATGGCAAACCGGCATTCGATCCGATTGCATTTTTCGGGGAGATTCATTTTTCCCGCTACAGAAAGTGTTCGAGGAGAAGCAGAGTGTTTTTGAATTCTGACAACGGTAGCACCACCAGCCCGTCATGGGTCGTCAGCATTCCAAAAAACTTTTATGAAGGTTTTTTTTTTTTTTGGGAAATGGGGAAGAGGAGGGAGGAGTAGAAAGAGAGAAAAAGGAAAAAATATATTTTTAATGGTCCACTAACAGATCAGCGAAAGTGGACCCAAAAAAAAGTCCAGATGGACTCGAAATAAGTCCAACAACGGCCATGTAAGCAAACATCGAAGAAAGATAACGTTTCAGTTAAGAACGGGTACTGTGCCACCATCCGAGGAGTTTGAGGATTCATATGTGACCGAATTTCGTTGAAGGGCTGATTTACCCTTTTTGCCTATGCTTAATTCTTCTGTTAGGGGAGATACCAAGTTGTAGCAAACAGGTTGAAATTTTGATTAACCCATCACAAGATCAGGAAATTAATGAAATAATCAAATGCATCACTACCAATGTTTTGAAAACCAGACCGGACCGATCAATTGGACCGGTTGAACCAATATCTAATGGTATAAATGGTTTGGTTGTATTTTTTAAATCGTTTGAACTGTAAACCATTTAAAACCAATAAGAACCATTGAAACCGCTCAAATCGATAAACCGTTCGACCAAACAGTTCAATGCTTGGGCACAAAATCTTCAAAAATTTGTCTCCCATGAGACTTGAACTCACAATCCCAAAGTTTTAATTCCGACTCTTTACCACTAAGACAATGCAATCTTTGTGTTATTGAGTGCTTAGAATTTGGTTTATTTAACAGAATTCTCAAAACTTTTAACAAAATTATTGATGGCACCTATAGGATTCGAACACCCCTTCTCCTCCATGATATGAAACAAAGACTCTATCACTTGAAACACAACCTTTTATTTGCTATTTTTTTGCTTTATAATATATTTATTGTATCTTTAAAATCACAATTATATTAAAATTTGTTCTCAAAAATGCTCAAACTTGTGATCTTTCAAACATCAAATCAATCATCTACCACTGCACCCAACTAACACCTTGTGAAATATTTTGTAAAATAATATATTTATAATAGTTTGATCAACTCGGTAGTTTTACTGATTAAACCGATCAAACCATGAATTGAAAGTCAAAACGATTTAACCTCCGATTCGAGTTTAAAAACTTTGATCACTACAAGAAAGAAACAAAATTTACATAAATTAAGGAAAATTAAATATGCTTTGACAAAATTAAAACAAAAATGTCTTTACAAAGAATACACTTTGTA